GACGTGCGGCCGTCGGTGGCGCGACACGCGGCCTCCAGCGGCGATTCGCCGCGGCTCCGGCGGTGCGATTTTTGTGCGTTTTCGAAGGCTGTGGGCGGGATAGGGCTGGCTAGACCGGCCCTGGTGTGCCCTAGTGTGTTCCCTTACACCCCTGGCCCGGGAGCAGTAGCGCGGTGCGCGTCCCGAGGGCGTAGGGGCTCAAAAAACAATTGATTGTTTTTTCAGCCACTTAGAGCACACAGTGTAAGCTGTAAGCTGCCGGTCCGCGAGGGCGATGCCAGAGTCTGCCGCTGAGTCGGCTCTCTGGATGACGGGGGAAGACGCACACACGCCTCCATCCACTCCACTCAGAACACCGCAGACTTGGAAAGTGACAAGTGCGCGCGCCGCAGGCGAAGAGAAATTTTTGAGCTGGGGCTCCCGTTCACACACAGTGAATCACACACTCGTTTCTGGCCTTTTCTCGGGGCCGCGTCTGCGGCGCGCCGTGGTTTCTTAGATTTTTGCGGAAATCGCTCGGCGTGGTTTCTTAATACTACGTTTTCTTAATGCCCGCAACCCACTGTACTTGGTTCTTTGCGAGAAATTTCTTTTCTCTTGTCGCTTAGTCAGACGAGTGTGATGTATGTATTGATTGATTGATAGGAAGGCGAAAGGGGAAACACAGTCCGACCAACAGGAAGGTGAAGAACTGTCACCGGAAGGAAAAAAAAAGAAAAAAGTGTCGGGCGGAGTGCTTGGAGAGCCTGGTTTGCGGCTTGCATATGCTCCCGCTGCAGCTGTCCGGGCTCGGCCTCAGCGCCAGCCCGCGAGCACTTCCCGAAGGGGTCTCGAGTGGCGGCGTCGTGCGGTACTTTGCGTTTGGCTCAAACCTGCTGCGCTCAAAGATGGATAAGCGAGGCGAGACGGGCGTGATCTCATGCACCGCCGGGGTAGTGCCCGACCACCGGCTGGCGTTCAATATGCGCATGTTTCCGCCCCTCGAGCCTTCGATGGCTTCGATCGAGCCCAGCCCGGGCGAGGTGTGCGAGGGCGCCCTCTACACGCTCACGCGCGACGGCTACGAGGCGCTGTGGCAGAGCGAGGGCGGCGGCATGGAACGGCCCGGCTACGAAGAGGTGAGCGTGCC